CCCCACCCGGACAAACCGCAGCCTTGCCCCGCCCAGCCCCCACCCTGTCCCTGTCCCACGGTGGGTGACAGCACAGCCCTGGGCTGCCCCAGCAGCTGCGGGGGGCTCTGGACCCCCCAAAACCCCTCAGAGGCTCCCCACAGCTCCAGGAGCCCCGGGACAAACCGGGACAAACCGGGGCAGCAGCGGCTGCGGGGCGTGTCCCCCCCCCGGGACAAACCGGGGCTGCGGGATGTCCCCCCCCCCACCTCCCGGACCGGGGGACCCGAAACACGAAGTGACACTTCTGTCCCCTCCCCCGCATCCGGAACATCTGGCGGCAGCTGCAGCGCGAGCACCGGGGGGGTCACGGCAACCCCAGGGACCCCCGCCCGGCCGTGCCCGCGGAGCCGCTCCGCTCACAGGTACGGACACCGGGACCCCCCCCGAGCCCTGCCCTGCCCGGGACCCCCCGAGCCCTGCCCGGGACCCCCGAGCTCGGCCCCGGATCAGCCCCGGCAGCGCCCCCGACCCCTGCCCGGTGTCCCCGGAGCCGCTGATTCCCGCCGGGCCCCGGCCCCTGCCCGTGCCCAGCCCTACCCGGGACCCCCCCGGCCCTGGATCAGCCCCGGCAGCGCCCGCGACCCCGCCCCGGTGCCTCCGGCTCCGTTCTCGGCCCCTGCAGGGAGGGACCCCCGGCCGGGCTCCACTGCCCAGCCGTGACCGGGGACCCGGGCCCGGTTCAGCCCCTGATCGGTGCCCCGGTCCGGTCCCTGATCGGTGCCCCGGTCCGGTCCCTGATCGATGCCCCGGTCCGGCCCCTGATCGATGCCCCGGTCCGGCCCCTGATCGATGCCCCGGTCAGCCCTGACCCCTGCCCCGGGCCCGGTTCAGCCGTGACCGGAGCCCCGCCCCGGATCGCCCCGCACAGCCGCTCCCGGTCCCCGTTCCCCCCCGCCGCGGGGCCCTCCTGACCCGCAGCCGGCGCCCCGCTGCTCGGCAGCCCCTTGGCCGGTGCGCCGGTCCCGGCGGAGCCCCCGGGCCGCCCCCGCCTCCCCCTCCCGCAGCCGTTGGCCCCGGTGCCGCGGCGCACCTGCCCGGCCAGCACGGGCTCGGCCAGGATCTCGAGGCCGTACTTGAGCTCGCTGAGCTCCTGCAGGTTGAGCGCGGCCCGGGCCCCGCGGAGGGGCCACCCCGGGCCGAGCAGCGCCAGCAGAGCCAGCGCCGCCACCGGCCCCGGGCCCCGCCGCGCCGCCATCTTCCCCCGCCGCCGCCGCTTCCGCTTCCGCCCGCACCTCCCCGGGGCCGCCCCGGCCCCGCTGCTTCGTGTTGTGATTGGTCTGAGTGTCTGCCTGTCAACGGCAAGAGCGATTTTGATTGGACGATCTGCGGGGATGACGCTACCGGTTGTGAGGCCGCGGGGGCGAGGTGGTTGCGAGGCCGGGGCTTGCGGCGATTGGCCGGAGCCCGCGATGGCGGCAGCCAATGGCGAGGCGGGGCGCGGCCGGCCGCCATGACGTAACGCCTGGCGGTTTCCCATTGGCCGAGCGGGATGCAGGCGATCCCCGCGTGCTGATTGGCGGAGAGCCCCGAGCATCCCGGGGGGATCACGTGATTACCGGAGCCGGGAGGGGCGAGCGGGGCCGCCCCCGGCGCCATCCCCCGGCACTGCTGCCCCGGCCTCCTCCTGACCCCGCCCAAGCTTCTCCGAGCGCCCCCGGGAGCCCTCAGCCCCCGGGACCCCCTCAACCCCCGGGACCCCCCAACCCCCGGGACCCCTCAGCCCCGGGAGCCCTCAACCCCCGGGACCCCTCAGCCCCGG